GCCATCCCCTCCCCGTGGCCATCGCCATCATCTTCCCAGGGCCACCATGTCCCTTTGGCCATCACCTCTCCATGGCCACCAAGTCCCCATCACCATCACTTCCCTGTGTCCCCAGGACCAGCAGAGTAGACTGTTCTGCAGACCTGCTGGTGTCCATCTGTTAGTCTGTGGCAGCTGGAGCAGATTTCAGTGGGAAGAGGATTGTCTGAGAGTTGCTCTCTTATGGGGATGGGGATGGATGTGGTTGAAAGGGACTGAAGGGCTCTGCCAACTTTCCTCCAGCAGGAAATCCCACCAAAAGAGACGGACTGCACAGAGCCACCTCCTGCCTCTGTGCCTGCGAGGGTCCCTGCGAGAGCTGAGCAGGAGCCCATGCCACAAGGAGAGCAGGTGCTGAGAGAGGGGATGGAGAGGCTGTGCCCCACAGCCCTGCAGGGAGACGAGGAGGAAACACTGTGGTGGTGGTGGGACATGGCTGCACAGCACCTTGAGCCACAGAGGGTGGTCTGGGGGGGGTTGGTCATTGCTGTATGGCAGGCTGTATGGTATGAGAAAGACTTGGAGCCATGAGAGTCTGCCCTGAGCTGGCTGCTGAGCTGCGGGTGTGGATGATGCTCTGCTGGTGCTGCGGTGGCTCTGTGGATGCGGGCGCCCTTGGTTGGGTGCTGTGCAATGAGGAGCTGCCTGCAATGGGTGCTTTGCAGGTAACTTTCCTGTTGTTTTCTCACTCCGTGGCAGGAGGCAAAAGGAGAGGAGAAGGAGGAGGAGGAGACAGCACCTGCGTTGCCCCCAAGGCAAGCAGATCTGAACGAGGAGGAGGAGGAGGAGCCCATCTACAGCGAGACTTTTGATGGTGGAGACTACGAGGAGCTGCTGGAGTGCTCCGACTACTGCGACAGCGTCAGTGCAGGCGCTGACTACGAGGAGCTGCCGGCACCCGCGGCAAAGCCGAGTGCCACCCCCAGCCTGAGAGAGGAGGATGAAGGCGAGGACTATGACGAGGTCATTCCTGAGGAGCCCAGCCAGAGCCAGCCCTGCGGGGGTGAGCGTGGGGAAAACAGCCTCGGAGAGTGTCTGGGTGGATGGACAAACCGAGGGGGATTTGGTGTCCTGAAGTCCTGTGGTTCAGGTTAGCAGTCCGTGTTGGTTGGGACCTGGCTGCATCCCAGCCCCTCGCCCTTGCTCCAAGGCACAAATCAGCAGCGTGGGGTGCAGGGTTGGGCAGCGGGTGTCCGCTGAAGGTGAGGGCAGGAGGGCTGCACCTGATGCGTTGTTTCCTTTGAGGGACCCCCGGTGGGGCTGCAGGGCTGGCTCTGATCCTTCACAGCTCACAGTGCTCGGAGACCTGAGCTGCCGGTGCCTCCTGGGTGCCAGGGGAGCAGGGAGTATGTGAGCAAATTGCACGAGAGGCTGCTGCTGTTTCCATTGCCACTTTGCATGGCGAAAAGGAGGAGCTGCAGTTCTATCCAGGCTTTGTCTGAAGGAGGATCACGAAGCACCAGGACTGCTGCTCCCTCCTCCTAGCCATGGAAGCAATGCGTGCTGTGCGCTGAGCCGCGGTGCACCGCTCTGTGCCAACAGGAGACGGATGTGGCTCACAGCAGGACAGACAGATGGGCACCAAACGGACCTCCGTGGCTGCCTTCAGCCTCCCTCTCATCTACCTGTCTGTCTTCTGCAGGGGGAACGGACAGCATTTATGAGGTGGAGAGTCCTGGGATCTGTGCAGTGGCCCTCTACGATTACCAAGGAGGTGAGTCTGCCATCCAGCGGTGTGGAAGGCGGTCACCCTGGCCATGGGAGCTCGGCAGGGGATGGGAGGTGGTGGCTCACAGCAGCTGTGGTGGAAGGGGTTGGGCTCAGCTGGTTAAATGTCTTTCTTGTGGAAAGTAAAAGGAGAGCTTGCTTTGGAACCTCTGCTTCATCGTTCACCTGTGAGGTTTCTCTCCTTGCTCCACTCTGTTTGTGCTGATTGCAGGGGTGGGGGTTGGGTGGGATGAGCTCTGTGACCTGTCAGCCTGCATGGGGAGAAGGACGGGAGGGATGTAAACCAGTCCATCCCAACACGGCCACCATCTGCTCTGATCAATCCCTGCAGATGGAGATGATGAGATTTCCTTTGATCCCGATGACACCATCACACACATCGAGATGGTGGATGAAGGCTGGTGGAGAGGGCAGTGCCACGGCAAAGTGGGGCTCTTCCCAGCAAACTACGTGAAGCTCCTGCAGTGAGGCCGTGCTCCATCTGCCTCCTCCTGAACCTTCACCTCTCTCTGCTTCAACCCTTCATGCATTATTAGCTTGATTTGACTCTGCTTGGCGTGGCTGCATGCAAGGAATAGCAGCGAACAAACCAGCCGTGTGGGAGGAAATGTCCAGGATGTATTCTGATTCCCATCCCACTGAGAAAGGTGGGATGGTCCCAGAACTTACGGGTGTGATGTGCGACGCCTTTTCTGTCTGGGTCATCCCATGCATCAGCCACAGTGCGTGCAGGAGAGCTGTGTCCATTTCTGTTCCAGCAGGGAGCAGTGACCACAGGGACGTGGCACTTGGGGACGTGGGCAGCGGGATGGGCTGGGGCTGGATTGGGGTTGCACTGGGGATCTCAGGGGTCTTTTCCAACCTCAGTGGTTTTGTGGTTCTACCCATAGGGCTCAGTCCAGCAGTGAAGTCAGCCCACCCATTCCCACTGCAGAAATAGTTACCTGCAGCTAATTAGCTCACCTGTCAGTAGGACTTAATGAGGAAAGGAGCAAATTGTGCACGCTGGGTGGAGTTCCCTTACCTGATGTGTTCCCATTGCTGGTGCTGTTGGCCAAACCCTGCTTCCCTGGCGTGAGTTGGTTGCATCACTTTGAAGTCTACCAAACTTTTAGCAGCCTGGTTTGAGCAGCAAACGGCAGCAGCATCTGTCTGTGCTGCACTGTGCTCCCCCTATAACTCAAGCAATAAACTCTTCTATCTGACCTGCTCATGGCCATGACCCCTTACTTCATGACAGCACACAGTGCACAGCCAAGAGGGATTTGTTTCTGCTGATAGGAGGAAAAAGCAGAGCGTGTTGGCAGCGGGACCAGACATCTTAAGATTTGCAATGCTTGAAAGCAACACTGAGCAACAATCCAATGCAAACCATGCCCTCCCCTAAAGCAGCGTGCTCTGGGCTGGGTGCTCACTGCTGCTGCAGGAAATGGTTGTTGGTGTGCAAGTAGTGTGCAAGTCTGCCAGCACCACTCCTGGGACCAAAGCTCCTGCAAGGAGCTGTGGGAGCTCATCCCAGTGCAGTCCCAACCTCCAGCAGCAGGCTGGCACCTGAAAGCTGACATCTCCCACCACCCACAGCCACACCACCGCTCCACCGAGTTGGGATTTACTGCTGCAAAGCAAAGTGCAGAGCTTTGGTGGCAGCCTGCAGAAACCCAGTGGTGCCAAAGGTCGTATGGGAGTGGGCTGCGCCAGTGGAACTTGTGCTGGGGCTGAGTTCTGTGCTCTGTGCTGGTGCCATGTCCGTGGCTCGGTGCTCTGGTCAGCCTCAGGCACTGCTCCCAGCCCTGCTGAGTGCAGCCCATGTCTGCTACAGGAAATTGCTGATTACAGCATCCTCTGGTAACAGTGCTACTGCAGAGGGTCCTGTGCTGAGCTCAGTGTGCAGTGGCAGAATCAGATAGGTTTGGGTTGGAAGGGATCTGTCAGACGGCCTCCTTCCAACCCGCTGCTGTAGGCAGGGACGCCTCCCACCAGCCCAGGTTGCTCACAGCCCATCCAGCCTGGCCTTGAATGGCCCTGGGGCATCCACAGCCTCTCTGGGCAACCTGTGCCAGTGTCTCACTTGCCCTCACAGTTAAGTATTTTTTCCTAAGATCTACATTAAATCGCCCCTCTTCCAGTTCAAAGCCATTTCCCCTCATCCTGTCCCTCCCCAGCTCTCCTGTAGGATCCTTCAGGTCCTGGCAGGCCGCTATAAGATCCCCCCAGTGCCTTCTTTTCTCAGGCTGAATATCCCCAGTTCTCTGGGCCTGTCCCCATAGGAGAGGTGCTCCAGCCCTCCGATCATCTTCGTGGCCCTCCTCTGGTGCCTTCCAACACAAACCATTCTGTGGCAGTATGAATAGTGACTTCATATCCTACAGACTTCAGCTAACACGTCTACCTGGACACAACCCAGGACCTGTGGCCTGGATCCCAGCTTGATTCTGCCATTCTCTCACTGGTGATGTGCAAAGGGTCAGACGTGTGATGTGATGACAGTGTGCTATGAGCACAGATAACTGGTAGGAAGACAGAGAAAGGATGAAGGATTAGCTTTTACAGGTGTGCTTGTATAAGTCGACATGGAGACAGCTGATTTTTAGTTTAGAAAATGCTTATTATGAAGTCTGTTGTGAAGTCCTTTAATGGAACAACCCGTGTTTTTTGGAGAATGGAACCATAAGAAGCGGAGTGCGAGACACGATGACCTGGAGATAAACTTCCAAAACTGAACTGAGAAGTGAGACTGAGAAAGCAGATTGTGCTGATGAAGTCATTTGTTTGGGACTCGGTAGAGGACTTGAAGGACTCTATGGAAACTTTTGTAAAGTCATGGAATCACAGAACCATAGAATGGCCTGGGTTGAAAAGGACCACAATGCTCATCCAGTTCCAACCCCCTGCTGTGTGCAGCTCACCAACCAGCAGCCCAGGCTGCCCAGAGTCACATCCAGCCTGGCCTCCAATGCCTGCAGGGATGGGGCATCCACAGCCTCCTACATAATCAGAAGAGTAATGCTGTGTAAGTGATCACAAAGCACAGGGAGGTTGACGTTCACTGCGGTGGTGACCCAACTTTGAATAAACCAGAGAACTCAGTCTGCTGGAATTCCTCCCTTTTACACCCTGGAGGTGCCCGAGGCTGTGCATGGAGCCACTGGGCAGCCCGAGCTGGTGGGGGGCACCCAGCCCACAGCAGGGGTGGAACCAGAGAGTCTTTAAGGTCTCCTCCAACCTCAGCCATTCTACAGCCCCGCGATTCCCCCTCCCTGTGGACGCAGCCCCACATCAGCCCCGCAGCCCCGGGAGCCACACCGCCAGCGCAGGACCCTCCTGAGGGCCGCCTGCACCTCCTGGTTGCGGAGGCTGTAGATGAAGGGGTTCAGCGCAGGGGTGACGATGCAGAACAACGCCGACACCACCACGCTGGTGGTGCCGAGCCGGTTGTAGTTGAGGATGGCCGTCACGAAGTAGAGCGTGACCACCAGCAGGTGGGCAGAGCAGGTGGAGAAAGCCTTGCGTCGGCCAGCGGCTGCGGGCATGGCCAGCACGGCCACCAGGATGCGCAGGTAGGAGCCGAGCACCAGCAGGAAGGGGCAGAAGCCCACGAAGACGCTGGAGGCGTGCAGAGCCGCCTCGCTGGGCCGCGTGTTGCCGCAGGCGGCCCTGAGCAGCGGGGGGACGTCGCAGAAGAGGTGCTGCAGGTGAACGGCTCTGCAGAAGGACAGCTGGGAGGCCAGCAGCGTGTGCACCGCCGAGTCCAGCGCTCCCCACAGCCAGCAGCCCGCAGCCATGGCCCGGCACACAGCCCTCGGCATGGTGTGCGTGTAGTGCAGGGGGTGCACGATGGCTGCGTAGCGGTCGTAAGCCATGACGGCCAGCAATGCGCACTCGGCACCCACGCAGCTCATCAGGAAGAAGATCTGAGCCAGGCAGCCGCGGTAGGAGATGGCGGCCCGCGGGCGAAGGCTGTTGGCCAGGACCTTGGGCACCGTCGCTGTGGAGTAGCAGATGTCCAACCAGGAGAGGTGGCTGAGGAAGAAATACATGGGGTTGTGGAGATGGGGGTCCAGGAGCACGAGGGCGAGTATTGCAGAGTTCCCCAGCAGCGTGACCAGGTATGTGGCCAGGAAAAGGAGGAAGAGGAAGGGCCGGCCATGGGAAAAGCCCAGCAGAAGGATCTCTGTCACCTGAGTCTGGTTCCCCCTGGCCATGGGGCAGCTGCGTTGGTCTGCAGGCAGAAAAGAGCAGCAGGAAGAGGTGGAGAGGGTAAAAACACGACTACAGAGTATGGGTTTAACTGCACGGATGGCTGTGGTCCTATCTCTGCAGTGATTGAAGGCTTCCCATGCCAATAGTTTGCAGACAGTGGGATTTCACCGTCCAGGAAGATGCTGTTTGGTGCTGGCGATCTGACTGCAGGAGTCACACCAAGGAAACCGTGGCCAGTTTGCATCCAGGCTAACTCACACATCCTGGGTCCTCCTGCCCATCGAACCCGCTGTCTCAAACACCCAGCACATCTCTTTTCTTCCCATTTGCACTCCTGCTCCCTTCCCTGCTTCCTGCACAACGCCACATCCTTCTCCAGATGCTATGGCCACAAGGCCTGCTCTCTGCCAGCTGCCAGGGATGTGCCATCACTTTGCACCAGCTAAAAGGGATTATTATTACTCTTTTTTCCATCCTGTCTCTTCCTCTGCCTTTTTGGAGTGCTTTGCTTAGCAATAACCAGTACCAGAACACCCCAGGTTCCAGCTGAGGGAGGCTCACCACGCTGTGTTTGTAGAGCCACAACCAAATGGAGCTGTCAGGTTCTCCGCTGGCCTGGGACTCCTGACTTTCTTCCATACATCTGATTTCTGTCACCCTGACCCAAGGGTTTTGCTGACTGCTCTGTGGAGCTGTGCTGACCCTGTCCATACGAAAGGCTAAGAGACCTGGGGCTGTTCAGCCTGAGGAAAAGAGGGCTGAGAGGGGATCTGATCAATGTTCACAAACCTCTAAAAGGAGGTGGAGGCACACGGATGAGGCCAGGCTCCTCTCGGTGCTGTGCAGCCAGAGGACGAGGAGCAACAAACTGGAACATAGGAAGTTCTGTGCTAAGATGCAGAAGAACTGCTTTCCATCGGGGTGACAGAGCAGTGGCACAGGCTGTGCAGAGAGGTGGTGGAGTCTCCTGTGAGGACATCCACCTCTGAGACCATTACAGGGAACTGCTTTAGCAGAAGTTGGGCTCAGTGATCTCCTGAGGTCCCTCCCAACCCCTGTGGTTCTGTGATTCCATTTTCCAGTGGTGTTTCCAGCAGCAGAAGGGAACCATGAGTTCCTCTGCAGGAGGGACCGGGAGGGATGGAGAGCTGCCTGTGAGGCTCTCCCTGTGCTGACAAACCTGAGCTGCATTGGGTGTGGAGGCACAGGGATGCTGTGCAATCACAGGAAGACAGACCCTAATTTCTCCACTGCGCTCTGGAGCGATGTAGCAGTCAGTGACATTTAAACCCTTCACCCCCAAACACCCTTTGTACAAGGGAGGGGAAACGTGGTCAGAAAATCTCCCCTTTCCCCAACCAAGGAAGGTGCCTCACTTCACCTTGGTCCCCCTCCCATCGCCCCAGTGTTTTGGGGTGCGTTGTGCCACCCTCTGTTCTGCAGGAGGCCAGGCACGCTGTGCTCCCACCCCAGACACCAGATGCTCCTGCAGGAAGATGCAGCTCTCCCCTTGAATTTCTACCAGCCCATCTGCACCCCAGGTGAGCACAGCAGAGCCTGGAACGTGGGAGAGGGATCCTGAGCCCTTGGTGCGCTCTGTCCCTGCCTGATGGTTGGACTGGGGGGAGCTGGCAGCACCACAGGAGGAATTTCTCCCGATGAGGACTGGCTGGTTTTGCTGGAGGCAGCACCAGCCCCCACAGCCTGTCCAAATGCCTCGACCACCCTGAGCCCTGGGTGCCAGCACAGGCATGGTCCCTATGCAGTATGCAGGGGGGGGGACCCTGAGAGGGCTCCATCATGCCCTATGAGCCTCTTACTGCAAGCAGGGCTCTGCCCTCCTTACCTCCGTGTCCAGCAACAAACCTGCAGTGCTGGGTGAGAGGAAAAAGCTGCCCCTGCCCCCATGTGCTGCCCAGCGTGCCTTACCTGCACCAGGAGGAGCCACCTGCACCTGTGAGCAGAGGAGCAGCTTTTAACCCTGGGAGGTCCTGAGGGAGAGGCTGGCAGAGGCAGCACTGCTGCACGGCAAAAGCACAGAGCAGAGATGCTTTCCCCCCAGTCAGTCCACACAAGTGGGACCTGAGGCTGCCAAACAGAACCCTCCTGGCACAGTACCCCCTACGATTCCCTTCTCTGGTCCAGCCCAGTCTGAGCTCTCTAGCCCTGTCCTTCCATCCCAGCCCTCAGCAACTCTTGTGCACCTGGGCTGCAGCTCAGGTCACCACGCACTGAGTACCCCATGCCATGGGGAAGGGCCAGCTGGGAGGGTTGGGAGCTGATTGAGCTCATTAACTGATAAGCACAGGTACTACGCTCAGCCTTCACCAAAAAGTGAAGAACCTGCAGCCCTTTTGTCCTCCTTCACCACACCGTGAGGGGTCACAGCAGACGGTGCAGCAGAGGGGCAGCAAAGGGCAGGGCTGGCCCTGCAAACACCTGCAGCACAACCCTATGGCACAGGTTGGGCTGGGTTAATGCACTGGTTGTGTTGGGTTAAAGCACTGGTTGTGTTGGGTTAAAGCACTGGTTGTGTTGGGTTAAAGCACTGGTTGGGCTGGGTTGAGGCATGGAACAGAGCTCTGTGGCTCTGAGGACTCAGCACTTCTGGACTCTTTAGTGGATGCAGAGCTCTTAATGTCTCCACTTGCAAGCACTGTGCTTTCCAAACCCAAAGGTACTGTTGTAAAACCGTGGTCTTCTCCAAGTCACGTTTCCCTGTTTGTTTTGACAGGTGGAAATTAGATTGGATCTTGGGAACAATTTCTTCTCCAAAGAACAGTCAGCACTGGCACAGCCACAGATTTCCTGAGCCCTCATCTCGTGATATTCAGAGCGAGTCATAGAATCATTCAGGTTGGAAAAACCCACTAAGATCACCACAGGTGACTCTGGTTCTTTCTTACATCCATTAGAAGGAAAAACCTTGAAGCCTCTTGGCTGCATTTTGCCTGCTGCCTCTCCTACCCCTCTGTGCCCTGTTGTGAAGGGTCTGGCCTTGGTTTTAAGATAGCCTCCCCATGGGTACAGCAGGACTGCTGTGTGGTTCTCACAAGCCACCACTCCATCAGGCTGAACAAGCTCAGCTCCCTCAGCCCCTGCCCATGGGAGCTCACCTCCAGTTCGACGACGTGCCTCGTGTTCTGGGGAGCCCAGCACTGCATCCAGTATCCGGATGTGGTCTCGGGGGTGCAGAATGCTTACCTCATTCTGCTGCCTTTGATTCACACAACCCCAGGATGCCCAGGGCCACCAGGGCACACGGCTGCCCCATACCCAGTTTGCTGTCACTGCTCCCCCCTCCAGACCTGGCATCGTTCTCATTGAATTTCACAGGGTTCCCCTTGGTCCTCTCCTCCAGCCTGTCCAGGTCCTCTGGAATAAAAACCCTTGAGCACATATACTGGTCTTCTTGATTTGAAGTCACCTACAAATCTGGCATGGTTACCATCTCCTCTGTGTCACTAATGAAGAGGCCAATCAGGGCAGGGCCCTGGACCAGATACCTGCGATGTCTCATCCGTCTCTGATGACTGCTCAAACATTATTCTCTGAAGCTGATGATCCAGACAGCATTACACCATCACTTTCATGATGTTGCTGTTGCTTTGACACACACGAGCTGAACACACTTTTCTTCCCATGTTTTTGAACACACTTGTACTGACGAGGAGAGCCCAGCTGCTCAGACCTTTGTGTGGCCACATCTGAATACAGAGCTCAGCAACGTGTTGAAGGCATCCTTGGCCCCAGTGGCTGCAATGGGCTTTTGCTCGGTGGCTTTGGCTGTCCCTCCTGCAGTTGTGATGGTGCTAAAGGTGCTCTGCCAGAAGTTAAGGTTAGGGTAGGGTTATGGTTATGGTGATGAGGAGAGGTAACAGACACGAGCCATGAAAAGAGCCGTCCCCACTGCATGCCATGGAAAATCCCTCCAGCGCTGGCTCCACACCCACAGGCCATGGACAACCTGGTGTAGGAACTGCTTTGGCAGGGGGTTGGACTCCATGATCTCTGGAAGTCCCTTCCAACCCCTACAATTCTGTGACTCTTCCTGCAGCCTCAACTGTGTCCTGGGCAGGGGCTGGACCAGCATCTCCTTTCCACCAGTACGAGTCTGATCTCTACAGTTAAATTCCATTGGGTTTTGTCAGAACAGCATTTCACGTTTTTCTCATTGCTTTCCTCCGAGGAGTTTCCTTCGAGACATGATTTTGCAGAGGAGTTGCCTGGAGCTCCTTGTTATCTAGGCCAGCCCAGAAGCAAGGATAGGAAAGAGCTGGCATTTCCAGCCTGCACTGCCCAAGGCAGGACAAATGCTTCATCCTGTGAAAGCACTAATGGAACGCAGGGAGTCGCTTTTCTCTAAAATGACTGATTTTTGGCTGAAAAGAAAACAGCAGTGCCTCATGCTGCTCTGTAGCAGCGAAGGGACTTCATTTGTTGCACCTTCATTCTGTTGGATTCACTGCTGGTACTCGTATTGCAGGAAAAAAGGGTGGCAATGGTTGATCCAGCTCTAAAGAGGGCCAAAGCTGACTTGATTTATGCTGACTTGATTATTTGGTCCCTTGAACACGTCCAAGGACGGGGCATCCACAACCTCCCTGGGCAGCCCGTTCCAGGGCCTAACCACTCTCCTTGTAAAGAACTTCCCCCTAACATCCAACCTAAATCTTCCCTCCTTCAACTTGGATCCATTTCCCCTAGTCCTGCTGTTGTCAGCCCTTTTGAAGAGTTTACTCCCCTCGTGGCTGTAGGTTCCCTTCAGGTATTGATAGGCTGCCATGAGGTCACCCCGCAGCTTCTCTTCTCCAGGCTGAACAAGCCCAACTCCCTCAGCCTGTCCTCATAGGGGAGGTGCTCCAGCCCCCTGCTCATCTCAGTCGCCCTCCTCTGGACCCTTTCCAAAATCTCAATGTCTTTCTTGTACTGAGGGCTCCACACCTGGACACAGGACTCCAGATGGGGCCTCACAAAGAGCCGAGTAGAGAGGGACAATCACCTCCCTGTCCCTGCTGACCACCCCTCTCCTGATGGAGCCCAGGAGCTCTCCCACCACCAGCAAGCAGCTCCTGCCCACTGATTATTATGGGACAGCTGCGACCCAACCACCATCCTCATCCCTCATCCTCATGCTGCACAGACCCTGTGGGGTTTTTGCCCAGGGCACCAAGCCAGACACAGGTGCTAATTACTGCACTTGAAATGAGATGCTTTAAATAGAAGGTTGAAATTGGAGAGAAAAGTTTTCTTGCCCACTCAGGGCAAATCCCCGCTGGGCTCCCTCCACAGGGGTGGCAGCACCAAGCAGAAAGCCCAGAGCGCCCCACTTTTCTGCCCTGTGTGTCTGTGTGACACAGGGTAAATGAGTAAATGAGGGCAAACGAGGCCCGGAGGGAGCTGTTAGAAGTTCGGTGCATCGCTCAGAACTTAACTTTGAAACTGTTTGCATTTGCACCAATCCATTGCATCATCACACAGAGCAAGGGGAATGGAAAGCGGAGAACAGCCTTCCTGCCTTCCAGGTGTCCACACTCTGAGCCAAGAAAAGGTGCACACAAAGGTTTCGAGTGTTAGAAGGGGAAAAAGCTGAACAACTGAACAGTGCATGGTCAATACGAAACGCCCGAGTGACAGCAAGCTGTGCAAACCAAAATCCAACAGACATCACCAATTCCTTGACCTGCTTTGAAAAACAGCAATGAAACCCCTTCCCAGGCTCAGCCTAATGCTTCGTCCCCCTTCCTTAATCCCAATGCCCCACTGTGCAGTTGTTGCAGCAACAGAATCTGTAACGTTATGCTAAACCAGCATCTGGAAGTTTTGCCTTTGTGATGTTAAGCCACAGCATCTGCAGTTCAAACAAAGCAAGCAAAAATCCTGAAGGAGGAAACGGAATCTGTTCTCCATTTGTTCTGTAAGAACAGATCAGTGAGGGAGGGAATGAGGGAGAGAAAGGTGAGAAATGGAACGAGAAGCTGTTTTGAATTTAAACCATTTGAAGTTACAAAACCAATGGTGACTCATCGTCAGAGGACCAAGCGGCACCAGATGGTGCACAGAACAGATGCTGGATGTCACTGCAGAAGCAGCAAAAAAAGCTTATTTTGCTCTCTTCCAAGCAAGGAGGAAAAAAGACTTTTAGCAGAGTACCCGAAATAGAGAACATCTGCTGTCATCCCAAATGCAAGGGCTTCCTTATGCTAAAAATCCATGTTTGACATTGCCTCTCGCACCCAACACCAATTATTTCAGGATTAGATCTCCTGATGAATTTTAGAGCATCTTCTGTTTTGCAAAACAAACACCTTGATTGGGGAAATGGGACTGAGGTGAACCAAAGACATACAATCATAGAATCATCACAGAATGGTTTGGGTTGGAAGGGACCTCAAGGCTCACAAAGCTGCAGCCCTGCAGCCACAGGCAGGGCCACCAACCTCCCTGTTTCACAGCAGCCCAGGCTGCCCAGGGCCCCATCCAACCTGGCCTCCAACACCTCCAGGGATGGACGGGGCATCACAGCCTCTCTGGCAGCTGTTCCAGCCCCTCCCCGCTCTCACAGCACACAACTTCCCCCTGACATCCAACCTCCAGCTGCCCTCCCTCAGCTTCCAGCCGTTTCCCCTCGTCCTGCTGCCATCTCCCCTTGCCAGGAGTTGACTCCCCTCCTGTCTGCAGGCTCCCTTCAGCTCCTGCAGCTGCACTCAGCTCACCCCCAGCTTCTCTTCTCCGTGCTGCAGAGCCCAGCTCCCTCAGGCTGTTTGCAGGGCAGTGCTGCAGCCCCCTGCTCATCTTTGTGGCTGCTCTGCACCCCCTCCAACAGCTCCCTGTCTTTCTTGTATTTGGACCCCCAGCCCTGGACGCAGTGCTGCAGATGGGGCCTCATGAGGGCAAGGCAGAGGGGGACAATCACCTCCCTGTCCCTGCTGCCACCCCTCTGCTGATGGAGCCCAGGATCCCATTTACTTTTAGAGCTACAAGGTCACACTGCTGGCTCATGTTCAGTTTTTCACCCATCAGGACCCCCAGGTCCTGCTCTGCAGGGCTGCTCTCAAGTTCTGCTCCTTCCAGTCTGTGTGGATGCCTGGGATTCCTCCGGCCCAAATCCCAAACCTCACACACTGCTGTGTTGAGCCCCATTAGGTTCACCCAGGCCCACCTTTCAAGTCTGCTGAGGTCTCTCTGAATGGCAGCCCCTCCATCCATGTGTCTGCTGAGGATGCACTCAATTCCATCGCTGATGTCACTGATGAAGATGTTAAAGATTGCTGGTCCCAAGGCAGAGCCCTGTGGGACAGCGCTCCTTACAGGCCTCACCTGGACACAGAACCACTCACCACAGCCTCTGTCTGCAGCCTTTCAACCAATTCCTTACCCCTGTCAGCACTAATGTGACAATTACCCAAGCAATGCCAACCAGGACCTGTAACAGTACCTGAAAACGTGACACTGAGATGGAGGATCAGTACTTGAAATTCGAGGTTTTGTTTCAGGGATTGTGCAAAATAAACATTTCAGATGAACAAAGAGTTACCACGTAATGACATCCCCAATTAACGTCATAAAAGCAAATGATGTAAAGAAGGGAGGTGGAGAGAAATAGTAAAGACCAGTAGTTACCAGAAATAAGCACACAGCATCCAGCATCTGGGGAACCAACAACGAATCAATCATCAATGACAGCAAGAATCCAGGTGTGGGTAAATTCATGTCATCAACAGATCCACCTTTGGGAACTGCTGGTGAAAATAAAAGCAGCAAGGCAGAAATGCAGACATATTCAGCAGATTGCTTTGATCTGTGCCCGAAACAAAATGATGGCCGTGTTTAATCTCCTATAACAGCAAGGAAAGAACACAAGTGTACTGAATCAAGGAAGCTGGGTGGCAGCACTTTGACAACTTACATTTTCTCAAACACAGCTGTCTTGAACTAATCAAAGAGCAACTTGTTTGGGATCCGTGACAGACCAGAGTGTTAATTAATTTGGGACTCAATCAGCAGAGCTTCAGCATCACTGACGCTCGTGCTTTACATCAGAATGGGGAGTCAGGCAAACAAACTCACCCTAAGTAGATTCCCAGGGTCCCTTCTCTAATTCAGGTCATTTGGAGTTATGTGAAAGAAAGTTCACTCAGTACCTTGATTTTTAAACGTCATCAGTATTGGGATAAACTACGAGGGGACAGTTTAAATGGATTAAGGACTCACGCATGGGCAGATCTCAAAATGCATCAGATGGGAGAACATAAGTGAGCACAGAACTTTCACAGTAACTCAAACCCAAGACCTCGTGCCCCAGCACACCAACGATCTGATGGTTGAAACACTTGGAACACAACTGTGCAAAGGACGTGGAACTCTGTGCCTCAGCTCACAGCAAACCCAGAAGGAATTTGGTCTCTGAGTCACCACTGGGTGTTCTGTTATGAGGCTGAATGCAAAGAGCTCCAGACAGAACTCCGGTGGTGTCTGCGTACCTGCACTGAATCACAGACTTTTGGCCTTTATTGCACACTCCCAATATTCGCAGTCCTAACAGCCACTCTCAGGTTCCATCAGAGCCACCAACCCCACGTTCCAGAAGATCTAAAAGCAAACAATTTATGATCCTCCACAGGCACTGGGCTGCTCCACACCTTTCTGCAATCACTGCTAGAAGATCAGCCATAGGGTTGTCAGCCCAGACTAAAAGGAACTGCTTTCCTACTGAGAACAACTTCCAACTGTGCCTCCAGTAGGTGCCTACCATAAGAATTTTTATATGAGTTTGAAGGCCACCTCTCCTCCCAGCTTGGATCCAGGAAAGCAATAACAGAAGGGTTACCACTGCTCTGCTCACCACTGCATTTTTTTCCATGTTCATCCCATTAAACCCTTCATAAGGGAAGGAGAGAACGGAGCAGACAGTAAGAATACGGGCCTACTATCAGCAACGCTCGTCGTCCCCTAGCTGCCAAGTCCTCAGAGTTCACCTGCACTGCTCACACACAGATAAAAACACGAGGGCTGGGGAAGTGCATGGCTTTATCTCTGTGTTGACTTTCAGTACTGCTAGTGGAGAAGTTGTTTCAGAAGTGTCCCAGCACCTGCGTGCTGCACAAATCACAGTCCTGAGCAGCACAGCACGATGCTCATCTGCCTTCCCTTTCCCCACAGTCCTTAAGACACGTCATGACTCTGTGTCTTGTTATGGGACTGACCCAAACAGTGTGGCTAGCAGCTAAAGCCAGCTCAGCAGACCACACTCCCATGTAACTCATGTCATCTCTGTTTCTTCTCCCCTGATCACACAGTGGACACGCTTCTCTGCATTGTAATACATCTGCCCACAGCGCAGACGTGGCTCCTCCTGCTGGTACCACAGCTGTTCATTGAACTCTGGGAAGAAGAAGGCAATTTCCCTGCTGGCTGACGCTGGGGAATCTGTAAGTAGAGAGGGAAGAGGTGAGATGCTAGCCTTGCACCTGAAACATGCACTGCTTTAAAGGCGGAAGCTGCAGATGTAAAGCACCAGGCCTGGCTGCATGTGGAGTCTGCAGAAGCGAGCAAATTGTGAGCAGAAAGCAAAGGCAGACAAAAATAGCATTGTTCAGCCCCCACCGAGCTCCAGTCCCTGCCCAGCGCTCAGCCAAGAAGGCCTACCTGAACCATGGGTGGTATTCCTGGTGTCAGTGAGGCCATAAGCTCCTCGGATGGAGTCTGGGACACAGTTTCGAGCTCGGAACACTTTGGTGGGTCCCATCAGGGATCTCCAGAGGGAGATGGCATTCTCATGGGCCAAGATATAAGCCCACATGGGGCCACTGAAAAAGGGACCAGGAAAGAGTAAGGTTATAACAGGGTACAGCTTCTTCATTCTTATTCTTATGACAAGCTCACAGTAGACAGCGATAGCTTGAAAACAAAGCATCTGCATGACCTCCATCTAGGTGATGGCACCCACAATACACTGGGATGCCATCCCACTCAGTCCTCTCTCATCACACCGGAGCTGTTCCATGACAAATGCCCACCCTTCAGCCCAAAGCCTTCACCCTCAGCACATCTCAAGCACAGGCTCCCGACAAGATGCATCCCCCGCTGAGGTGGAGCCCCCCAGATGCGGCCGTGCTGCTCAGGGTTCACCCCATCCCCTCCTCGTGCCCTGCACTGCCCACCACGTGGCAGAGCAAGTACCTGGCCATGAACTCCACCAGCCGCTGGTAGAAGAATCGCCCTGTGGGAGAGAAACAACCCTGAGTCACAGCACCCACCCAGCGTGCTCCCTGCCCACCCCCCGGAGAAGCAGCCTTCAGGGAATAAGAGAAAGGTGGGGGTTGAAAGAGACTTGCACACAGTCATTCTAACCCAGTGGTTTGGGTTAGAAGGGCTCTTCAAGGCCATCTGGTCCCACTCCCTGCAATAAGCAGGGACCCCCACAGCTCCATCAGAGCTCACAGCCCCCTCCCCTGAGCGTGGGTGCCTGCAGGGATGGGCAGCAGCACCTCTCTGTGCAACCTGTGCAGTGCCTCACCGCCCTCAGCATGAAGACCTGCTCCTTACATCCAGCCTCAGTCTCCCTCTGTCAGTTAGCAACCACCTCCCCTCGTCCTGTCACACAGACCCCACTAAAGAGTCCATTCCCTCCTTTTCACAGCCCCTTCAGATACAGAAGGCTGTTGTGAGCTCTCCCTACAGCCTTCCTTTCTCCACCTGCACAGCCCCAGCTCTCACCCTATCCTTGCAGGAGAGCTGTTCCATCCCTAAGACCCTCTTGGTGGCCCTCCTCTGCACACTCTCTAACAGTCCCTCCCGTGCTGAGCGCTCCCCATCTGGGCGCAGTGCTCCAGGCGAGGTGTCCCAGCACAGAGCAGAGGTGCAGATCCCCTCCTGCTGGCTGCGCTGCTCTGGATGCCCCCAGGGTGCAGTTGGCTCTCTGTGCTTTGAGGGCACAGCGCTGCCTCGTGCTGCTGCTCCCCACCAGCACCCCCAGGGCCTTTTCCTTCCCGCCCCGCAGCCCCGCACCGCTTACCCGCGTGCTCCCGGTAAAAGCGGCGGCTCTGTTCCCGCCCGCAGCGCAGCTCCTTGGCGCGCACGATGAGGAGGCGATTGCTGAGGATGATCTCATGCACGGCCTGTGGGCAGAGGTGCAGCGGCTGGGCGGGAGGCGCGCACCGCCAGGGCGTCCCGAGGGGGCCGAGCGGTGCGGGGCGGCCCGATCTGCCCTCACCTCCAGCACCAGCGGGTGGGCAACGGCGTCCGGCTTCAGCAGCGCCAGCGTCAGCTGCAGGGGCCGCTTGGAGCACGCAGCGGCCGCCATGACACCCTCCTCTCACGTAGCGTCGTGCGGGTGATGACGTCACTCAGCGCGACGGCGCGCGGGTGATGACGTCGTCAGGGCGCGACGGCGCCGTGCGTGTCGCGTAGCAGCGGGGACGCAGCGGCGGAGCGATGGCGGAGGCAGCAGAGCAGCCCCGGGATGAGGCCCTGGTTGAGGCCGGCGCCGAGGAGGCCGTGAAGATCATCTGCCTGGGCGACAGCGCCGTGGGCAAGTCCAAGTGCGTGGCCGCGCGCGTTCCCCGGACGCCGGGCCGGGCCTGGCGGGGCTCCTGACGGCCGCGCTGTCTCTCCGCAGGCTGCTCGAGAGGTTCCTGCTGGACGGGTTGTATCCGCGGTTCCGGCCGCGCCCCTCAGGTGTCGGTGGGGCGGGCGGGAGGCGGGCGGCGGCGGAGGCGGCGGCGGCGGGGACAGTTCATCCGACGGCTCCTTAACGCGGGCGCAGCCGCCCTCAGCAGCTCTCCACCTTCGCCTTGACGCTGTACCGACACCAAGCGCGAGTGGACGGGAAGGCGGTGCTCGTGGGTAAGTGCGGAGCCCTGTCGGAAGCTCTGTCGGAAGGCAGGACGGCCGCGGTGCTGCCGGGACACAAAGCGCCGCGCGGGGGCTTCCCGGCGGTGGGCAGGGGGTGCCGCCCGGCGCTGTGTGGGCAGCGAAATGGAGGAATGAAGAGCAGCATCGCAGAGCCGTTTCATAGCCGGGCTGTGGCGTGCCGCTTGTTCTCCGCCCTGAAAAGAACAGGGGGAGAAAACGAGGTGAGAAAAGTCTATGGGTCGAGGTAAGGATGGGCAGATCGCTGCTGATTTTTGTCGTGGGCAAAGCACTCTTCCTGGGAGAAGAAATGAGGAAGAAATTGTTTACCGTGAGGGCCTTGAGACAAAGGAGCAGGTTGCCCCTTGAGGCTGTGGATGCCCCCTCCATGGAAGCATTGAAGGCCAGGCTGGGTGGGGCTGTGAGCAACCTGGGCTGGTGGGAGGTGTCCCTGCCTACAGCAGGGGGTTGGAATGAGATGGTCTGAAAGGTCCCTTCAAATCCAAACCATTCTATGAAGAGAACCTGAAGAGAACAAACGCCAAATCCCCATCATCTGCTTCTTCCTCCTGTAACCGACAGTGCAGGGGAGTGGGGGTTGTGGACATCCCGTGATGATTTGTCTCTGCAGCTCCTTCAGCCTCGCTCTGTTCCCTGCTGCAGCGTGGGGCAGCTCCCATGGGGTGCTGTTCTGCCCAGCCTGGTCCTGGTTTTGTGGTAACTCTTGTCCCCAGGATGTTTCAGATCAGTGAGATGAAACCTAACTTGTGGCTTTGAGTAGATGAGCTGGGGTTTGCATCCTGGGTTAAAGTTGTGAGGAAAACAGAAGTTGAGATGTTGTGTCATCCTGAATTTGTCAGTTTTTTGTTTGTTTGTTTGTTTGTTTGTTTAATTTATCCTTTTATCTTACAGATTTCTGGGACACAGCTGGACAAGAGAGGTTCCAGAGCATGCATGCCTCCTATTACCACAAAGCTCACGCTTGTATCATGGTAAGGGTGATGTCCTAAGCTGCCCAAGGAGGCTGTGGATGCCCCATCCCTGCAGGCATTGGAGGCCAGGCTGGATGTGGCTCTGGGCAGCCTGGGCTGCTGGTTGGTGACCTGCACACAGCAGGGGCTTGGAACCAGATGAGCACTGTGGGCTTTTTCAACCCAGGCCATTACAGAATCACAGAATCACAGAATCACAGAATCACCCGGGTTGGAAGGGACCTCAAGGATCATGTAGTTCCAACCCCCCTGCCTAGCAGGGCCACCAAACACACACATTCTAGGATTCTGTGATCTGGTGGGATTTTGGCTGATAAATCCCAGCTGATGTTTGGCCTGGATGTTACTTTTTACAATTACACTCTACTATTTTTTTTTTTTGTCTCTTCCAGTTGTTTTACAGATTTTCCCACATTGTTCCTTCTTTTTTACCTGACAAAGCCAGTGTGGTTGGTGTGTTCTGCATAATTCTGCAGTGCTCTGACTGCATTCCCTGAGTTTGCTTCCTTCTCAGTTTCCTTTCTTTCATCACTGCCCTTCCAGTAATGAGGTGTTTATGACCAAATGCACCTCCTTGGAAGCGGTGCTGTCAGAAGGGATGTGGGGGAGAGGGCACTCTTTTCTCCTTCTGTGTCTGATGTGGCTGTTGAATTGTAGAGTACAAAACTGTCTTAAGGTGTTCTGCAAAGTACTGCACTCACAGGATGAATTTGGGTTTGGGTTGGAAGGGACCTCAAGGCTCACAAAGCTGCAGCCCTGCAGCCACACGCAGGGCCACCAACCTCTGCATTGCACAGCAGCCCAGGCTGCCCAGGGCCCCATCCAACCTGGCCTCCAACACCTCCAGGGATGGACGGGGCATCACAGCCTCTCTGGGCAGCTGTTCCAGCTCCTCCCCGCTCTCACAGCACACAACTTCCCCCTGACATCCAACCTCCAGCTGCCCTCCTTATTTCCACGTGCTTTGAGCTTTTTTGTAACTCAAATGAGTGTTGTTTCCTGACTCCTAATCTACTTAAGTCTCTTGGTCTGTGTTGTTGCTCTAACTTTTCACTGCATCTTTATTGCTTGTATCTTTATCAGCCAACTCCACTGGTGCTTTAATGTAATTGTTACAATGGAGAATCCTCACATCTGACCCCACTGACAGCAGAACAGATCTGTCCCAGTGCTTTGGGTGCTAAGAATGTAAAGGCAAACGAGGGATTGTTGCCTGCATCACGCAAAGAGAAAGAGGCTGCATTTTTCAGGGCTTGCTGGATATTCTCCCTTTCCTCTGTCACGCTTTCTAACAAGCAGCAGCTTCCCCTGACATCCTCCTGGCAGAATTCTGGGTTCTGCAGATGTGTTTGGTGCTGTGGGTTAACAGGAGCTGCCCTTTTGCACCTTTTGCTGGTTCTTTTTTGGAAGGTGTTTGATGTGCAGCGGAAAGTCACCTACAGGAACCTGAACAACTGGTACAAGGAGCTGAGAGAATTTCGCCCGGAGATCCCTTGCATTGTGGTGGCCAATAAAATTGATGGTGAGTGTGTCTTCTTCTTGTAGCTCCTCAGGATTGTGAAGGTGTTCTCTTCTTACCTGGTTGGGAAGGAATGTCATGCTTCTCTTGGGTCCAATACATCCTTGAGGATTAGTCCCTCGGGGCTGTATGTTACCAGATAAATAGCCAGGTCTGTGCAGGTTCATTTGGCTCAGTGGTGGAGCTTAGAGCATGATTCATCTCACTAATGAGAGCCTTTCCTCCAGGCTGCATCAAGCACCACGAATGAAGCAACAAGAGCCCGTTCCTTTCTTTGTCTTCTTGTCAGCTGCCTGCTGATGCTGTCGCTTTTAAAGCCCTCTGGCTTTTGTGGAGGGTCCACATGGCTTTGTACTGCAAAGGGGAGGCCTTGATAGCTGCTTTAGGTTCCAGTCTGCATCTGTTCCACCATCCCTGCATTTGTTGGCATTCTTTCACAGAAAGAATCACAGAATGGCCCAGGTTGGAAGGGACCTCAAGGCTCACAAAGCTCCAACCCTGCAGCCACAGGCAGGGCCACCAACCTCTGCATTGCACAGCAGCCCAGGCTGCCCAGGGCCCCATCCAACCTGGCCTCCAACACCTCCAGGGATGGACGGGGCATCACAGCCTCTCTGGGCAGCTGTTCCAGCCCCTCCCCGCTCTCACAGCACACAACTTCCCCCTGACATCCAACCTCCAGCTGCCCCCCCTCAGCTTCAAACCATTTCCCATTTCCCATTCTTTCTATACCAGTGCCTTACTGACTATTTCTCCATTTCATTTTTTTCCCCTCAGCGGATATGAAGATGACCCAGAAAAGCTTCAGCTTTGCCCGGAAGTTCAGTTTGCCCTTTTACTTTGTGTCTGCTGCAGATGGCACCAATGTAGTGAAGGTAAAACACAGCTGTTTGTCTCAGCCCTGTCCGTGGAGGGCTGTGAGCACGGAGTAGGGAATGGGGCAGTCCCTCTGACTATTAGCAGTTGTAGAGTTGGGTTTTTTTTCCCCCATGGGAGCAGTTTTTGTACATTAAGGAGTCCCATCACTCTTTGCTTTGAGTGACAAAGTGTTCCCTTTCTTGTCAGCTCTTCAATGATGCCATCAAGCTGGCGGTTACTTACAAACAGAATTCAGGAGATTTCATGGATGAGGTCATGCAAGAACTGGAGGTAAGAAAGGAGGAGAAGTGCAGGGAGTAGAACGTGAGGTGGTTAGCAGCTCTTCCCCCTGGGGAAAGCAGAGCCTGTACCAAAGGGTGAAAATCTCACAGGAACTGAAAGATTTGCCTTATGCTGACAGCGCCGGGTTTGGGTGCTGCTCATATCTAGGTGGGAAGGGGTGAGGTGGTGACCCTCTGAAGAACTTATGCTGCTTTAGCCTGGTTTTGAAAGCTGTAGCAGAGTGTAGCTGTCGTGCTCTTCAGCATTTTCTTGTCTCACTTCTTTACAGAGCTTTGACCTGGAGAAGACGAGTGAGAATGTGTCGGATCAAGAGGAGAGCTGCCCTGAAGAAAAGCCCCCATCCTCCTAAGGACCGCATTTGGAGTCCATCTTTTCTCTCTGCTCCAGTTGTCAGGGGCTACAGGAGCTCACCTCTGCAGGGGAAAGTGATTTTTCTCGTGCCCTGAGATCTCTGGTGATGGGGAGACTGGGCACCATCTCCCTTGGCTGGGCCCTGACTCCCTGTGCCTCGCAGTCGAGGCAGCAGCGCGAGCATCCGTGTGCTTCTTCGAGACAAAGCTTGCTGGGAGAGCTGAGCCACTCGTGTACCTGCAGGGAGGGTCCTGCCCAGAGACTTTAATGGTACCTACCACAGAAAATAGTTACTAAAGACTTTTTTTTTCATTAAAAGAAAAAAGAGAAAGGTTGGAGTCTTCTTGCAGTTTTGTTACGAGGCAGTTGAGTTGCTGCACAACGCGAGTCCAACCACCAGCCCTCCCCTTCCTTTCACAGCCCAGCCTCTGTGCACCCCTGTGAGTTTCTTTGCACCTCCTTGTAGAGTTCCTTTGAGTTTCCCTTCTCCATTCTGCCGTGGGCCAGAGAGATCCAGTGGATCTCTAGACATAAGGAATTGCTCCTTGTAGGTCCTCTGGAGCTTCGTGGTGTGGTCTCGTATCTACAAGGTGTCTCCCAGCCCAGGCTGATGGATGTGGCTGCTGCTGTTCCCACGTGGTGACATGCTGTGTGTCCCAGGTGCAGACAGACACACACCAGGACTCTGATGTGGATGGCAAAACACATCAGGATGGACAGAGTGCTGCCCTTGCATGAACATGTGACCGTGAATCCCTCTCCAGTTACTGGGACTGGCGGTCAGCAGTGACAAATAAATGCAGCTTTACTCTCTAGATGTGCAGAGCAAGTCTGCAGATCCTTCAAATAACAGCGTAGAAATGGCATCCAGCTCATGTCTGGTGGCTGGGTGTCATGAGGTTCCTTGCACACTCGCAGGGGCAGCCATTAGCTCTTCCCAGATTGGTTCTCCTGCCATTTGAGCTGGCCTGGCATTGAGTTGCCTGGTGCATTACACCCCCCCACACCCACACCTCACCAGTAGCTGGCACTTGAGGGACACTTGATGTTGCAGCTGCTGTCCCTGAGACTTCTGCTCACCTACAACCTGTCCCATTGTGTCCCCTTCCCTGAGCAGGCACCATTTCAGCCCTCGTGGGCCACTCTCTCCTTTTTGTGGCCTGCAGTCTGCACGCAGCTTCGCTTTGCATTGCAGGGTGTGGAAGCCTTTGCCTGGCACAGGAGATTGAACTGAGCAGAGACACGGGTAGCTGTGAAAATAAGCTTTATTTATCCAACCAAGTCAACTTCAGTGTTTGTGTGCAGTCAGAGGGGGATGGATGGGACAGAGCAGGGCTTTGGCACTTGGGGTGCCATTGGGCATTATCCCAAAGAAAAGGATCGTGGTGCTTTGCAGCCTGCTGTGGGCCATGCAGCCAATTAAGCTTTCTTTCCTCTTAAACCCTGCAGGAGCTCCTGGAGCAGATTAAAGAAATCCAGGACTTTCTGGCGTGGAAATGGGCACGGTCTAAATGGGTTTGAGTACGTTGGTTTGGGCCTCTGGTAGGAGGTTGAGGTATAGACTGGGTATGATGTTGAAGTAGGCGTTTCTGCTGGAAGCAATCCCATCTGTACCAGGATCCAGTTGCGAAAGTACTGAGTGGAGGCATAGACTCCAGGCTGCTGTATCCTCCCACAGCCTTTCCCCCAGCTGGTCACACCGATGAGCCAGAAGTAGTCAGCAGTTTTATCTTTGCACATGAGAGGACCACCGCTGTCGCCCTGTGGTGGAGGAGAGAAGCCCAAAGTGTGACTGGGTTGCCACATCAGCAGCAGAGCTGGCTCCCCTCTCACAGTGCTCCCTAGAGCTACATTCCCTGCACAGAAAAGCTTTGCTTGGGTTCCAGAGCCTAAAAAGGCTTCTGGAAGGGGACTGTGGGTCTGGAAGGTAGCCCTCCCTTCCTCCCTCATCTCTGTGCAGTGATCCAGGCTGTGGGGGAAAGGGGTTTTCCAGGATTGGGTCCAGACCTACAGGGCACCAGGGGGGCTCTCTGGGCAGAATCCCAGGTATGTGGGGTACAGGGAGTCTGAGGAGCTGCAGATGGGAAGGGGAGGTGAACTCTGATGGGCGCCCAGTGCTGGGAGGGTGGCTTGCAAGGAGAGCAGAGCTGTGTGTCGGTGTGCAGCTCCTACCTGGCAGGTGTCGATGCCGCCCTGCGGGTAACCAGCACACACATTGTGGCTATGGACAGCCCCAGCATACCAGTGGCTGCTGTTGCAGAGGTTGAGGTCAATGAGCTGCACCTTGGCCTCCTGCAGGACACGGTACGGTTCCACGTATTCCTGTAGAGCTGTGAGCACAGAGCACAATTGGCACCACCAGCTCCTGGCCCATTACCCTGTTTGTGGGTGAAGCCCTTCCCTACATCTTGACTCTGTGTCTCGAGATGCACCGACGTTTCCCTGCTTTGGGAAACGGGTCAGACCCACACCTCTCCATAGATACATCCCTATGGTGTCACTGGGTTTCTACCTGCCATCAGGGATGCTGTTTCAGCAGCGTGCCAAGCTTTCACTCGGGACACCCGTGCATTCTGTGTACTCACATCTCAGCCCCATGTGTCCCCAGCCACTGACGTAGCAGTCTGTGAGCTCTGACACTCGCAGCGAGGCGTCGGGCACGCAGGCCAGCTGGATGTAGTAGCTGCAGTGGACAGGTTGGTCCAATTCGAGCAGCGCAATGTCGTTAGCCATGGTGTTCCTGTGATAGTACTCATGTGGGATTACCCGCACCACGTTGCGCACGACCGCTTCGGGGCCCAGGCGTTTCAGATCGTGGCCACCGATCACCACGTGCCACGGTGTGTCAGGGCTGGAAGAAGGGCAGAGGAAAGGTCAGAAGAAACGTGGCAACATCACAATCACAGAATGGCCAGGGTTGGAAGGGACCTCAAGGATCACGAAGCTCCAAACCCTGCAGCCACACGCAGGGCCACCAACCTCCGCATTGCACAGCAGCCCAGGCTGCCCAGGGCCCCATCCAACCTGGCCTCCAACACCTCCAGGGATGGACGGGGCATCACAGCCTCTCTGGGCAGCTGTTCCAGCCCCTCCCCGCTCTCACAGCACACAACTTCCCCCTGACATCCAACCTCCAGCTGCCCTCCCTCGACTTCAAACCATTTCTCCAGTTCCCTGCTATCTCTACTATGCAGGAGGGAGGAAAGCTGTCCTACAAGGGCTGTGACATCCCAGGTGTGCCTTGGGCATGAGGCTTACTGAGCTAAGGGCTGCTGGAAGCTGTGGCACGCACCACCAGGAAGGCACCCAGGACTGCCCGCACTGTTTGTAAGGCAGGGAAGGGGACGGCCCTTACGTTGCGTGGTCGAAGCAGTGCGCCGCTGTGAGGACCCACTGCGGCGTAATCAGGGATCCTCCGCATATGTGTCCGGTGCCGACGTACCATGTGCTCTGCAAGCTAACGATCCACGGCCAGGCCCCCTGTGGGGCATCAGTGCCGCCCACGACGCGCGTTCCCCCGTACTGATAAGCCAGGGGCCGGAGCCCGCAGGTGCTGCAAGGAGAAACACGTCAGGTTTTGCATCTGAACCGCCGTCCCTCCCCACGAGGCGCCGCCGGCCACTCACTCGCAGCTGCCGGAGAAGCTGTGCGCCG